GGCAAGGCTGCGGTGCAGGAGTAGGCCAAACTGCCGAGGGGTTTGAAGACTTGGCCAACTGCTTCACCCTGCGGTGTCCCAGGCGCCTCCCCGCCTAGGCTTTGGCTATAGGCCGGGGTCGGCGGATATCAATTAATTACTAAAGGAGGGTTCTAGAGGTGATCCCTTGCCTTGATCAGATTGCTGCATCCCATGCCGCTGGCTCGCAGCAAAGGGAGAGAGTTTGAATGGCGCAAGAACCGCCGGGCTCAGATGGTTCTCCAAGTGGCATCACTCATTATGCATGGGAAGGCCACCCAGAGAAGCATTGAAAGAAGAAGTGGACAGCAAACCTTATCCGGCAGCCCAGGGTTGGCAGGACATCCATTTTGCCACTAGCTGCACAAGCGTTTTCAAAGGCATTCAAAGACCTTCGCCATGTCGGCTTCGTCTGGCAAGGACCTGGCTCGGGTCGACGGCGTGGCTGTTCCCAAAACAGGGCCAAGAAAGGCTTGTTTCTTCGTTGGAGTCTCGACCTGCTTGTTCGGGCTACTTGGGTGTTGCGTGGTGCTTGGTGATGTGTTCGCGTGAGGATGCCATGGCCGCCTCCACAGACCTTGAGCAGTTCTTGGATGTGATGGAAGGCAAGGGAAATGGGTAGGAGTAGGCTGTAGTTCGACCGGATTGGCGGCCGGCAGCCGGACGGCATCTAAAACCCACGGGATCGGAGTGATGCACATTGTTTAGAGATCCGAATTGTGCTAGATCCGAATTTGTCGCATGATTTAAACTGAATGATCTCATTGTTCGGGCCTTCACCAGGAATTGCCAGCTTTGGACCTACAGGCTGCACTGACATGGATCTTGAGAATGTTAAGCCAGTTTTTACCCTGACTCAACAAGTATTTTAATCGGGTCCCATATTTTCAAGTGCAGTGCCACCCCCAGTCCTCTCTCCTCTCTTGCTCTTGATGAGCCCGCGGTTATCCATTTCACTGGCGGAACTGGGGTACAGACATTTCGACCTAAATAGGTTAAAGACTGGATGGGGATGTCTGAAAATTTTCACCTGAGTGGACCACAGACATATATCCATGGGTGGTGTCAAATTGAGAGGAAATACTGAATACTGATATTGAGACGTTTTCTCTCGTCAAATTGAACCACGTCATTTGGCAAAGAGGCATCGTCTTCGGGACCTTTGTTCCCCCCATGTCCAGCTTGGTAGCCACCACAGGCCGTTTCGATCTCGCAATGGCGAAGCACCAGCAGCAGTTGCATGACAAGCTCTTGTGACTTAGCTGGGCACGGGTGCAAAACGTGGGGGAAAGGCAGTGAGTGTGATCAGTGTTTTTGGTGCCAGCAGTTAGATTCCCTGACCACAAAGCAGACGGAAAGGCCATTGCTCAGACGTGGGGTCACATACATAGACCGTTCCATGTCTGGAGAGAGGCACAGTGATCATGAGCATGCTTGCTAGTGTGTGTTGTCCCCAGGGCGTCTTTGACAAAGATGCTGGCTGCTCACGAAGAACAGCACAAAGAAGCCAAAGGAGTGATGTTTCCGGAGGGACTGGACATTTTCGGAAAAGGTGGGCAGTGCACCAGCCATTCCGCCGGATCTTCATCTACCTTCATTCACCTGTAAACGACACATGACACCTGAATCCCTGACCTCTCCTTGCAGTGAGGCGGGCTGTCCGTCTCACTTGTTTGCTTGCCATTCTTTGCACCCTTTGTTTGGCTTTCCAAGCCCATCATTTCTGTCCTGACTCTCTCCTTGTGGCCATCACTGCCACTATCATGTCACCCAGTTGTTGTCAAACCCGACCTTCTTCTATTTTAATGTCCTATCATATCCTCTTGGACGAGGTCTTTCCCATTCCACCAAATCCAGCGGGTATGGGTGGTATGGGTCGCTTGTGTTGCCTTTTCTTGGGAACGAATATTACGCATTTGATTCATCAGGGTACAAACGTGCGGTATGGGGTTTAGATCCATAGCCCCATATCTGTATCATGCTGTATCTATCTTTTATTCCTTTGGAACAGCCGAACAGCCAACTGCAGCTTTCGGTTGGTTGGGGCTTCTGCTTCTTTCTGCAAATAAACTGGGCAGAGAGAGATAGAGAGAGAGAGAGAGAGCGAGATCGAGGCACCTGATTGTCAAACTGGAATATATAGTATAACTATAAATACCATTATATTTCTTGCAAACTAGACCTTAACCTTGTCTGTTGCAAACTGAAGAACAATTGACAATTGCTGCATGAGCCCCAAAGTTGATTTTCATGTTCACCAACGCACTCGCTTTCATCCTTCCTCACTTTGTACTACTTGCCCGAAAATGGCTCCTGTCGTGGCAGGAAAGCATCAACGCTGGAGCCACGGGAGCCGGGTCAAGTCCAAGAGCATGATGTCCGTCCCTTCGTTTGGCACCGGAGCATGTCGTGGTTTCGCGGTTGGATTGGTTGGATGCCGCCTGCCACCGTTGGTGTTTTCCTTTGGAAGGTCAAGGAACAAAGCCGTTAGAGACTGAACAATATGGTTTTGCATCCTGGAGATTCCCTGGTCAATGCCATGTATTTGTATGCATCTTGTTTGTTTTCCTAGCTTCTTGTGTCATGTCGAAATGGACTTTGATTGATAGCAAGTACTTTGTGTTTATGGGGACAACCCTTGGACCCCATCTTGACTCTTTGCAGCGTGGTAGCCTGGTAGCATGTGTTTCCAATCTCAGCTGGCTGAAAAGATGCCAACAACTAGGACGATGCCATTCAATTGGAGGTTGCTAGGAGAAGGGCCAATCTGGCGGGTCCTCCAGGTCGAGAATAATCTGGCGCTCCGGCATATACTTTCAGACGTGATGCCCACCACACCTGCGAGTGCTTTGAGCCCAACGAAAGAGGCTCCAGTTGGGAGAGAGGCATTTGGCTCCGGTTGTTTGGTGGAATTCAGGGGGCAGGAGGGCTAAAGGGAGGTAGTTGAAGCCAGCAAGCAAGCTACTTTGGCATCAATTCCATTGACAATCACTGCTATGTCAAGGGAATGGAACAGTTCTTTGATCACTGTATTCTTGTCTGAAATGGGGTTGGTATTGATTTAGCAGAGAAAAATACGTCTCCCAAGCTGACCAGAGCCATCACCATGAAGACCCTCCAGCAGATCTGAGTAAGATCGGTCGGGACTTTTTGAGAGATGCTCAGGGGAAAATGGTACCTCAACGGGGATCAAGTGAAGTTCCTTGCTTTTCTGTTCAGTCGTTGTTTTCTTGGACAATATTCTAGGTTGTTAGTTGTTTTAATGTTGTTCCAGACATCCATTCTCACACACACACACACACGTCATTGCCAATCGCATGCTGCATTATTTGGTCGACCTCTTCCACGGTTCACGACTGCAGTGTCACTCTTTGAGAGCAGCATTTACAACGGATGCTGCCGACCGCCAGGACGACAGCATCGAATCTGTGAGATCACACAAGCCCGTCCAAAGGGCCTTATCCAAGAAGAAGCCGCTTGGGCTGACGGGCATTTTGGGGTGTGTTTGGTTTCAGGCTCAGAATCAGAATCTCAGGATTTGGCATTCTGACTGACAGGGTCTTCCTATGCATCTAATTTTTGGCCAATACAGGGCCCATCCACTGCCTTCCACCACATGTGACGTCCACCGGCGCTGTGAAACGGCCCGGGACCGTCGTGCCCACGGGAAGACAGCGTTCCTCAGGAAGCGCCGGGACAGCGTTCCGAGTGTTGCGGCCTTGGAAGCAGCCATGTTTCAAGACTGTGGGCCTATAGGCTGGGCTTCCTGGCTACTCTGGGCCAGAGAAGAGCAGTGGTGATGTGAGATTTGTAGGAGTTCAATCCTTTGAAGTGGAAGATGAGTGAGCTTTCAAGAAATAGTACCAAGAAAATACAAGAAGAATCAAGAAGATACGAAGATCACACAGCCTGAGCGCAGCACCTTGGAGCCTCTTCACTTGCAGGTATGCCCATTGGCGCTTCCAACAGCCACAGACTCAGCCACAGTGAGGACGCCCATGGCCACAGCGAAAGTATTTCCACGCCCATGGCACCAATCAATTCCAGCAATCCGTCGCAGGAGCACAGCAAGGGCACGTTCGGTTTGCATCCGCCCATGAACATTCAGGCGAGTCCGATGAGTCCTGGTCGAGTTGGTTGGAATTAGTGGTTCCTTCCGAAGTGCAGGTGCACTCTCCCAAAGCGGGTCTTTAACGAGATATGCAGGTCAGGTGCACTCTCCATGTGGTAGTGATACATGGTGCCAAGCGACTTTGCCTGGAAGGGCAGCCGACACCCTGCAGAGACACAGATCAGCCTTGAGTTGTTGCAGTTCGCAGGTGTCCCCGCCCAGCTGTTTGGAAACGGGCGAGGGTGAGGTGGGGAAGTGTCGCAGCGCGATTCCGCGACGTGCATCACGGCATGCTCTCATCCTCCACGGAGGAGCTCCTCAGAGTGGTTGAAAGGTTGGCAGGGACATTACCGTTGAAGGAGGTGATCGATGTCCTCCGGTATCTCTCTATAAATCCAATTCAAGCGTTTTCTTTTTCAAGTGAAGGACACCTGTGTTAAAAGTTAAAATCATCAAAAATCAGGGTTCTCTTCCCAGCTGCCGAGACTCCCCTGCCACTGAGCCGACTCGAGGGTTAGGGCATCACCGCAGGTCCTGATGCCTCCCGACAAAGACAAGGAGGCTTGGGGCAGAGCTCGACAGCTGGTGAGCCGCCAAACATCAAACCGCCCATTTCGGACGAACGTGTGAAGGCTTTATTCTGTAAGAACACTGTAAAGGTGCTTATTGAAGCTGATTGCTAGCCTTTAGTTGAGGACATTGAGGACAAGTGAATGCATGTGGGCTTCTAGAACGTTGTGTATGCAATATGATGCAATATGTAATGTGCTGTAGGGATTGACATTGAGAGTGAACTTGTGTGTCGTTGATGTCATTGCCGTTCATGCTTATTGTTTAATATGGGGGACTCTACGAAGAGCCATATCCTCTCACCGAACAGTTCGGCATTGTTCCAGCATCGCGCGCGTGCCCATCATCTAAAATATCCTCCCTTATTTAATCAGAATTCTAATTAATAGCTTCTTGTTACTACTAGTAAGGCACCTGTTACTACTAGCGTGGCACTTGTTACTAGTAGCTTCTTGTTTCTTCCACAAGCAAATTGCAGAAATCTCATAAAAAACCACAGTTGCTGCTGTTGCTGGGTGTGGGACTGTGATCAGACTCTGGGTGGTCCCTGGTTCCGATTCTCAACGGTGCGACCTTAGGAGTTCAGTCGGTTGGTCGACCTGTTCCACCTCACGTCGACCGGGTGGGCACCGCCTCCAGGACGCCTCCAGTGCGGGCACCGCCTCGGTGCACCCCACGCTCTTTGGGGTCCCGAGCCCTCGGCCCGCGGGCGAAATCCAGGCGAGAGCCGCTTTTCGGCTGCTCAGTTGATGGTCTTTTCGCAACGCCTGCGATTGTCCCTCAGCTTGACACAGACATTTGTTGGTTTAGTAAAGTTTAGTCCAGGTTGTTTGCAGCAACAAACATGTTCTTGTCTAAAGCTCAAAGAATTGGGAATGTACGGATTGGGGCTTTGTACTCTGTCCTGTTTTGATCCTTGTCTTAAGTCTGAACGACTTGGTTTACATCACTTGCTTTGGAGGGAGCCAGTTGACCTAATTCCACCCAACCCTCCCATCCTCCCAGACCCAGATGACCCAGGATCTATGCCCTTTTTTTCTTGTTATGGGGCGGTCCAACATACACCTTGTGCGGTCCACTCACGTGAGCCGTGAGCCGTTGGTGTCACTCGAGCGAAACCGCGACCCGCGGCCGTTCCGGCAGGTGACGCCGACGAACATCCAGAGACTTGGAGATGGGCGGTGAAAAGCACCATTTGGAGGATGGAACGACTTGAGTTTGTTCCTGAAAGGGAAGGAACGACTTAAAAGGATGGAACAACAAAGCCCATGCAGCATCGCCTCACTAGTGCTCGTCGTCATTTGTTCCATCTGAGAATTCAAGTGAACTTGGATAGAAAGCTGTTCGCGTGCGCAGTAAAGGGTCAGGTTTCTGAACCGACCCGAATGAACCCCGCACCGAGGAATTTGATGAAGGATTCGCAGTCGGCCATCTTAGCCGAGCATCTCGACCGAATTTTTGGTGAGGGCGAGTCTTTTGGGTCTTCGGTGATTACACTGATTGGGATACGGTTTCGGGTTTACGGTGCTAACTGTCTTCGCTGCAGTCAGCATCGCTGGTCAACCAGTGCGGCAAGCCTTCAACGTGCCTGTAGATGAAGAAAAGAACTGAATGTACACATTTGAAACCAAATGTGCATGGAAATAGCTCATGGAATTCAGGAACGATTCATGGGATTCCACAATGTTAGACGTTCGATCGATTCCAAGGATCAATGATCGAGTTGAGCTCCAGGACCATTGCGAAAAGCGATGCCATCTGAGAAAAGCCAAATGGAATAGAGGCACCAGGTTCCTTTGCATCAATGGTATCACCACCAAGCAGACCTCCGCAGCTCTGCTGCGTGATTTTGATAGATGCCAGCTGCCATTCTGCGGATTCTGCCAGAATTGCTTAGCCACTTGATAATCTGATTTTTGGACACATGCAAAGCATTGCAGCACATGGACTTATTGCGCAGTTTATTGTAGTATACAGTACACACTAAGAGAGGCGTCACGATTGGACGAGGGCAGTCGCGATTAGAGCACAGGTGCAGCGTGAACGGCGACAGTCATATTAACATATTTGTGTAGGTGAACGACTCTGAACGACATTGTTCATTGTTGTCCTGCTAATCCAAACTGAATGAATTGACTCCATTGCTATACCCTCTGGCATACGGGCGGAAGGCTCAACAAGACTTGCGGGATTCATCAAGCACCAGACCACAAACGCCTGAGAAATCTGAGACTTGGAGATTCTTTTCCCAAGGTGGCTAAGGCCTTCTGATGATTTGTGATCCATTCGTGACAATGCCGACCTTGGCATACCCGGACCAAGCTCCACGGAAGGAGCTTGAGTTGGACGTTGGCTCACGCTTCATGCTGGCGATTCCCAAGCCCAGGATATTGACCTGGCCACTTGGAGGCTATTTAAATAGACCCCGAAGTGGCCAGGGCTGGCTCGAACCGTAGACCGGCCGCCGGGCTGGTGGTTTTTTTTGCCGGGTGGCGTGGTCAGCTGAGTTGATTCTTTCTGGGTATGTTTAGACATCAATACAAGACCGTCTCACCAAGTTCTTTTTTCCATAGTTTGTTGCTAGTTGCTAGGTGATTTCAATCACAACTTCTTGATTTTTCAATGTCAAGATTGTATGTGTCAAATACAACAACCCTCAAAATGATAAACAGTTATATAATCTTCGTCAACGTCCAAGTCTCCTTTCGAGTGGTTTGCGGTCTGCACAATATGGTTGTCTAATATTTTCCAGCTAATTTCCCATGGCCTTATGATCCGCTGTCTTGGGAGAATTAAGTTGATTCAGGATTCTTCCCCTCCAACAATTTACAATTTAATTTACCGCATCTTTCCGTGTTCCGCCGAGCCGTGTCGGCGGAACGGGTGCCGAAACCAAACCCGCTTCATGCACGTGTGCCACGAAGAACGTGCGCCCTTCTCATGCGCCGTGCCGCCGTGCCTGCTACGGTAGACGCTGCCGCGAGGGTGCTGGGAACTTTGTCGTTCCTTGCGGCCATGACTTCTGGGAGCTTCCATGCCTTCCTCAACCTCGGTGGCCTCTGCCTCAGTGGACTCACGGATTGGGTGTGCGTTCGATCCCTCCGGTTTCGGACTGGGTTGGTCAAAACGTGAGCTGCAAACGGCTTGGTTCCAGACACATTGTTTGTCACTGAGGCAGTCTTCCCCTGTGGCCTGTAGAAAGGAACCTCCAATGTCGTTCTAGAGCCTAGGGCCTAACATTCCTTGGTTCATAGTGGGCGAACGCAGATGCCAACACTAGCAAGTAGAGATCGACAATGAGCTGGTCGTCCTTTTGGGCCCACGACCTAGGCCTGGGCCTCCAAAGTGACATCTTCTGCATATTCACCAACCTGGTCTATGGGGTGCTTGCAGTTGCTTGAGCCTTCCCTGCAAAATGAGTCCAAATTTGGGACGAATGGAGTGTTGACTCTACACATTTATCCTCCTCACTTAGAAATATCTCAAAAGATGCCCTTGGAATACGGGAGACGCATCAAAAAAGAAATATAAATGCATCAATAAAACAATATAAATGCATCAAGAAAACAAATAAAAATGCATCAATAAAAAAATAAAGAAAAGAAACAAAGAAAGGCAAGAAGGGAAGCAAGGAAGGAAGGAAGGAAGGAAGGAAGGAAGGTACGAAGCCAGGACGGAAGGAAGGAAGGAAGGAAGCAAGGAAGGAAGGAAGGAAGGAAGCAAGGAAGGATGGATGGAAGGAAGAAAGGCAGCAGGGCAGGAAGGAAGGTTCGCTTTTGGTGGCTCTTGGGTTTTGGTGGCTTTTGCCTTTGGTTTTCGATGGCTTTTGTAGGTGGCCAGCTTGCGGAGCTGTGCTGCCTGCAATGGCAAGTGTTGTCATGTATTCTATGTTAATGCATTTTTTGATGCATCTCCCGAAAAACACACACAACAACAAGGACCACTTTTGAACTCCTGTTCTATCCCCCATTTGGCCAGCTACTCAGCGAGCCAGCTTACGGACCTGTGCTGCCTGCAGTGGCCAGGAAAGCTGCAAGTTGACTCACCCTTTGTTGCGCCACCCGAGGGAAAAATTTGGAGAAGGATGTTGCCATTTCAGCTTGACTCACCCTTTTGCGCACAGGGTAAAAATTTGAGAAGGAAGTGGTCACTCCAACTTGACTCATCCTTTTGTGGCCAATGCAGGGGTATAATTTAGAGAGGGAAGCGGCCATGCCGAGTTGACCCACCCTTTTGTGGGCCACGCAGGGGTAAAATTTAGAGAAGGATGTTGCCATTTCAACTTGACTCACCCTTTTTGTGGGCCATGCGGGGGTAAAATTTAGAGAAGGATGTTGCCCTTCCAAGCTGACTCACCCTTTGGTGAGCCACCCGAGGGTAAAATTGTGAAAAGAAGTTGCCATTTCAACTTGACTCACCCTTTTTGTGGGCCATGCGGGGGTAAAATTTAGAGAAGGATGTTGCCCTTCCAAGTTGACTCACCCTTTGGTGAGCCACCCGAGGGTAAAGTTTAGAGAAGGAAGTGGCCATTCCAAGTTGACTACCCTTTTAAGTGAGCAATGCAGGGGTGAAATTTGGAATACGCAGCAACATTCATTCGGGAAAGGGCCTGTGTGCGCACTTGATTCCCCCGATGGGGTGTGTGCACGCTGAGTCAACAAGTGTGTGCGCAGATGAGGCGCAAGTGCTGCTAAAATATGCGGCGCCGCCCTTCTGTGAGCCACCCGAATGTACAGTAGTAAAGTTTAGAGCGCAGAAAGCGATTCCATTCTAGCACGCCAGTAAAATTTTGAAGAGGAGAGGCGACCGTAAGGCCCCTGGTCCTTTGGTCCTCTGTTCCCCTGGTCTCTGGATCTGAACCTCTGCAAGATTTTGTGGGTCTCTAGACTCTACACCCCTACACTCCAGATCTGTCTGGATGTCGAGGCCTTTGGATGTCCAGCTTACAGAGCTGTGCTGCCTGCAGTGGCCAGTGTCATCAGCACTGTGCTGCTGGAGGTGGCCAGAGTGTTGTAAGCACTGTGCTGCTGCAGGTGGCCAGCTTACGGACCTGTGCTGCCTGCAGTGGCCAGGAAAGCTGCAAGTTGACTCACCCTTTGTTGCGCCACCCGAGGGTAAAATTTGGAGAAGGATGTTGCCATTTCAACTTGACTCACCCTTCTGTGCACAGGGTAAAAATTTGAGAAGGAAGTGCTCATTCCAACTTGACTCACCCTTTTGTGGCCAATGCAGGGGTAAAATTTAGAGAGGGAAGCGGCCATGCCAAGTTGACTCACCCTTTAGTGAGCCACCCGAGGCTAAAAATTAGAGAAGGATGTTGCCATTTCAACTTGACTCACCCTTTTGTGGGCCATGCGGGGGTAAAATTTAGAGAAGAATGTTGCCCTTCCAAGTTGACTCACCCTTTGGTGAGCCACCCGAGGGTAAAGTTTAGAGAAGGATGTTGCCATTTCAACTTGACTCACCCTTTTGTGGGCAGGGTAAAATTTAGAAAAGGAAGAGGTCATTCCAATTTGACTCACCCTTTGGTGAGCCACTGGAGGGTAAAATTTAGAGAGGGAAGTGGCCATGCCAAGTTGACTCACCCTTTTGTGGGCCATGCAGGGGTAAAATTTAGAGAAAGATGTTGCCATTTCAACTTGACTCACCCTTTTGTGGGCCATGCAGGGGAAAAAAGTTAGAGAAGGATGTTGCCCTTCCAAGTTGGCTCACCCTTTGGTGAGCCACCCGAGGGTAAAATTTAGAGAAGGATGTTGCCATTTCAACTTGACTCACCCTTTGTGGGCAATGCAGGGGTAAAATTTAGAGAAGGAAGTGCTCATTCCAAGTTGACTCACCCCTTGGTGAGCCACTGGAGAGTAAAAAAATACACAAGGAAGTGGCTATTCCAAGTTGACTACCCTTTTAAGTGAGCAACGCAGGGTAAATTTTGGAATACGCAGCAACATTCGGGAAAGGGCCTGTGTGCGCACTTGACTCTCCATGGTGTGGTGTGCGCACGCTGAGTTAACAAGTGTGTGCGCAGATGAGGCACAAGTGCCGATATAATGTGTGTGCGCAGTTGAGTTGAATCCGTGTGCGCGGCTGCGGCGCCCCCCTTCTGTGAGCCACCCGAATGTACAGTAGTAAAGGTTAGAGGGCAGAAAGCCATTCCATTCTAGCACGCAAGTAAAATTTTGGAAGAGCTGGATCTGAACCTCTGCAAGATTTTCCAGGTCTCTGGACTCTACACCTTTACACTAGATCTGTCTGGATGTCGAGGCCTTTGGATCTTTGTAGATGTCGGCGTCCTGCTCCTCAACCGTGACCTCTTGAATCTCCAAAACCTGAAACACCTTATCTTTTGAATTCTTGGCAATTTCGAACAGAACACAGAGGGCAGAGGCCGACCGTTGTGGTGGATAGGTTGGTCTCGACCCAAGGGCCCTACAGGACCATCCAAGGTATCCGTGTAGGTTGATTTAGTTTTTGTTTTCTTTTTTGGTGCGTTTTTGTTTTTCTTTTGATCACTGCTTCGAGTTGGACTATTGCGCTTCCCTCCACTCGTTTGGGTCCGTTTATGTTTTTATTGATTCATTTTTGTTTTTTCTTGATACCCAGAATTATATTTGTTTTTTGATGCATTTTTATTTTCTTTTTGATCCCTTGCCCTTGGAATACCTTGGAAGTCCATTGTAAAAGCAACAGTCGTATATGAACGATGGCCGTTCTTGTGAGAGCTTGAACGCAAGAGAAAGGCACTTGTTCCGTGGAACCAGGTTTTTGCGATCAACATACTGCCTTGGCCTGCAAGCACATAATGTTCTCAGTTTTCTACTATTCTACCATGTTGGGAGCCATTTAGTAAACCAGAAACGGCATATTTTTAGAAGATCCACATCCAGGCCGTGAAGACGTTCGTGCCGAACTTGCCTAGCTCCATCCGCGACTCGACCCGGGTCTTCCCTGGCTTTCTCATGCAGCTGCCAAGGCATTCGCCTGCTCCGTGTGGCTTTGACCTCTGAGGAGTTGTGCCTTGGTGAGTCACAGTACTGCGAAGCAAGCGAGTGATCCTTTGGTCGAGCAAGATGAAGGACTCGAGGCTTTTCCGGTCAAGACCTTGTGGGGCAATCATGCCGTCTAAAAGAATGCAAGCTGAAGACGTGGACGCTGTTCTGAGCCTTAGGATGCGATGAACCTTAGATACACCCCTTGGGAAATACTTTTGGCAAATCAGAAAGGTCTTCACCCACACAATGAGAATCAGACTTTCTCATAGAAAGGCGCAGAACAAACCACCTAGCGGGACATTTCCACGAAAAGACAGATAACAAAACAAGCGCAACCATCTCAACTACAGAGACAGGCCCTCGACCATTTCCATCGGCTGGAGGCATTTGGCCATCAATCGGCTGCACCTCTTTGTGGCGGATTTTCATTTGGATTGGAGTGAGGTCTCAGGCCAAGAGTCGCGCACCCGGGCATTGATTGGGGAGTTCCTTTTTTCCTCCCATCCTGGTGAAGCAGTGCCGACTGGCAAGACAACATCACACGGTAAGTGTTGGTGGTTCTTTTTTGGGCTTCAAAGCAAACACCAGCGTGAGGGTGGTAGGCAAACTGAGAAGCAACTCGGTGGTCCACATGCTTGGGTGCCCTTTTCGTGTCCTTTGGTTCTTTGGGTTGTATGCATATTTTCAAGCTTTGATTACGTCGAATGTGCAAAGTTGAGGGTTGCCAAAGCTACTGTGCCTGAGATCTGAGGCAAATACTGCCATGCTTGGTTGCTGCTGGTCTTTTCCCAAGTCATTGTGCAGGGCCTCCAGTATTATATACTCCACACAAGCTTAGGCAGGGAGAAGCTGTTCACAGTCATTTGAGTCATCAGGCTTGGTTTTGATAGTCAACCGCTCCAAGCTTTGGATGTTTTGAAGAGGGGAGTATTCTTGCATAGACTCATAGACCCTCTGAGGATCAGGAATTCTTCCGCGAGTTTGCAGACACTCCTTTGGATCCTCACTTTGTTGTTCTTTTCTTTTCTTCATGGATGAGTGGCGGTCCTTGGACGGCCTCAGTCGAACTGTCCAGGTGTGGTTGATGGCGCGTACCTGGCCTTCATGGTTACTGGGTGGCCTGGCTGAGTCTGGACAGTAGGTGGAAGGTGTAGTGTAGTAGCCAAAAAAGCGCTGCTCAAAGTGCAGATCAACTTGTTTCACTAACATCTTGAGAGGGTTTACTTTTCTGTTCTATTGCCTGCCAACAACTTTTTTTGTTGCAGAAATTCTTAGGTTGAATTCAAGACAGTGCCACTGCAGTCTCTAGTTTTCCATGTGGGAATGGCTTTGCCTCAGCCGGAGAAGGACGAAAAAAGCACATTTTCAGTCCTGAATGGGTCTTGTTCCTATTCGGTCACACGATGTCCAGATCTGGTCTATTGGTCTCGCTCTCCCAGGGTGGTGCAAGTCTTGGTCTTCGCCGCCTGCAGTGCCATCGTCATGGTTGCGGCTTATGCTCTGTCGCACCTCATCCTCGGCTTGGACAAGACCTTAGCGGCTCAGCAGGGAAGAACGGGTGGTCGTCACCTGTTTTTGGGACTGTATAGGGGGAAACCCACCAGGTGGTACGGTTGGGAAGCAAGTTGTCAAGAGACCACAAGAAAAACGATTCTTCTTTGGAGTCTGGGAAACGCTCCGTGCTCCAGGGATTGATTAGAGAGAAAGAGAGAGAGAGAGAGAAACACTCTCAAGCTTCGTCGCGTCAAAGTCATATGGGAAAACTGAGACTTGGGGTCCACACGCGATGATCATTTGTCCCACAAGAAGCTATGAGAAACAAGTGCATCGCTTCTAGTAACAAGTGCCTTACTAGTAGCAACATAAGCTACTAGTAACACCCCGCACCGGTAAGTTTGTTGGAGCATCCGATATTCCGAAAGGGGCTCTCCCGCACCCAGATTTCAGACCCGAGCCAATGCTCAACCGAGCTGATGCGGCCTGCGAATGGACCGTTAATCCCAGAGCCACGTTCTCCTTAAACATGAAGAACGATAGCTTCTTGTTACTACTAGCGTCCTTGTTACTACTAGTAAGGCACTTGTTACTAGTAGCGATGCACTTGTTTCTAGTAGCTTCTTGTTACTACTAGTAAGGCACTTGTTACTAGAAGCGATGCACTTGTTACTAGTAGCTTCTTGTGGGACATAGATAGGCGGTGTTGTGCACTCCTCTGCTGCTTTGTGTCCTGCTCAGGACTGTTGGTGTTGCCACATCGCAGCTATCCCGCAAGCACAGCAAGCCGTTTTTCATACAGTTGTTGATATGACATATTATAGAGTATAGATAAACCTATCTATCCATGCATGAGGGATTGTCAAGAGGACATACCTTGTAATTATGATCAATACGATTCCTCACCCAGTTTACATCCTGTGGGCCACCGCTTCAGCCATTTGTTTTCGCCGTTCTCATGAAAGATCTAGGTCAACACCCCGCACTTTGAGTTCGGGGTTCAAAGCTGGAACAACATGCAGGCCCTTCTGCCGCTCAGCCCACATCGACGAAAGTGGTGATTGGCTGGGCATTGATGTGAAAACTGAGGACTTCGCTTAAGGTGGACAGAGTCCTTCACCGAACCGAATTGGAAGCTCCGACTGCCTAACACCACGAGGTCCTCTGCCTTTTTGGAGCGCTGGAACGAGTGAAAACGTCTGGACTATCTCAGGTCCGACTGCGACCGCTCCGACGTCGACCGACTCGCGCCGAGGAAGTGCGTGGGACGGGAGTTGGCCAGCGCTTTCATAATGATGCAGGCACGGCAGGAGACCGTGGAAACGTGTGTGTGCTCTTCTGTTTGGTAGTGGGAAAGGTTTGCAAAGTGGAAAAAACATGGGAAAAGCCTGTCTCCCTTGGTGATACTGCATGATCAGTCTGTGAAATCAACGAGGATATACTCATAATTACTGTGTTTATACTATTGGACTTCGGAGAATGACAGGGCATTGCAATTTGTGGTCCTTGAAGAGTTGCAACATGATGACTCTGTGCTCTTGCCACCGAAATTGGTTTGAGTTCACTGCAATGGTACATCAGAGGCTTATCAGAGGCTCCCATAGAAAGTGTCCAAGTTCTACCCAGATCATAACTTGCCCGCTGTGCATCTTGAAGAAAAACCCGCTTGGGCCGCCTGGTTTCTTGTGAACACCGCCAAGCTGGGGTTTCAAAGGAGTCTTTCATTCGACTGCCTTTGGTTCTGGTGGACCAGATCAAGTGCTAGTTGGACATGCTTGACTGCACACCCTGGGTCTCTGAGATGGGTAAAGCTTTGATGGATTCACTCATTTGTCTTTGGTTCAGAGAAAGCACCTCCACTGGTAGCTGTTCCGCCCCCAGGCGCTGTCAGCTCTTGGCTTTATGTTTCTTTTAGCCAATGGTGCCTTGGCCTTTTCTCTTTTTTGGTACGTTCGAAGATCACTGATTGGAGGGACCGGTGAGAGGTGCGTGTCCTCGGTCTCTAGTGCGGCTCTTCTTCGTCTCTGGTGCGGGAGGCGGAACAGAAGGCAGTGAACGATGACGGTTCGACAAGAGGAAGCACACCCGGGCACCCGGGGACCCGCTTTGTAAGGACCACAGATTGATTCTTTTGGAAGTATATAATCTGACCAGAGGCACCTCAATCCTTTAGGACCTTGACTCCATTGACCCTAGGCTGCAATCTCGGCAACCACTTCTATATGGCATTTGCTCAAGTCTCTTTTCTTTTGCAGGGGCTGTGGCATCTCAAGCACATCCAAGCCACATGTGAAGGTTCAGAAAACTTGCTGTGCAGAATGCATTCATTTTTTTGAGGGATCGTGCCGTCTCAACATATGAGGACCCAAATGCCAATGCTTCTCATACAAGTATGGATCATTTTGCTTGGTTCAGGGCATTTTCTGATTAGCTCGGCTTGAGGTGTGGCCTACGCATTCAGAATCGACGTGGATCTCTTGCCCACGCTGGTGGAAGGCCAGCGCAATTTGTTTGCACGGCATGGTATCGAATGTCCGCCGTCCTTTCTATGTAATCTATTTTCAGCTAAGCACATCATGGTGTAATTCAATTGGTGGTGAAAAAACATTGGTGGGGGAATGCACGCACACACACTTAGGATAGGGTGTGCTGAACTAAAAGCGGTGCCACACGCC